GCATGTTGTGAGTTGTGAGTATGCTCCCAGGTATTCTCCGTGTCTGGAGTATTGCTTGATAGGGGTGGATAATTAGTCTGCCACCGGTGGGACTCCCAGGCTGGAGTGTGTGTGGGGGTGTCTATGTACTCCCTTTCCCAAGAACTGCTACCAGAAGCACCTGTGGAAGTTGGGTGTTGAGTACCCGTTTCCCTTTCCATAGCCAATGTAGGCTGTTGATTTTGAATCCCAGAATGCATTTCCCATTCCTCCTCCCCCCCCAGAGGAGACTGAGAAGGAACCATAGGCGCGTCCCACCTCACACGTAATTGATCAATGTGGCGGCGAAGCATGCGGCCGTCTGGCAGGGACACCTCGTAAGACAGAGGCCCTGAGACTTTACAGACCATAGCCGGTACCCAAAGGTGGCCAGGCCCGTAATTCCTGGCCCAGACAGGATCACCTTCATGAAGGACCTGTGGTGGGTGTGGCTGAGACACCTGAGCAGCTACACGTTCCGGATGCAGCCTGTCCAATTAAGTCACGAGCCGACGACCCCAGCGGAGTTCGGCCGGGCACTTACCCGTGGCAGTGCACGGAGTAGTACGATGTGCCAAATGAAAGTCAGCCAACCTGTGATGCCAGTTACCGTAAGTCAGCTTCTTGAGGGCGTCCTTGGTGACGCGGACCATCCGTTCAGCCAGACCGTTGGTGGAAGGATGGAAAGGAGCTGAAGCAGCGTGGCGGATCATGTTGGTCCGGAGAAAACCCTGAAACTCAGTAGAAGTAAATTGAGGACCGTTATCTGACACTAGAACATCTGGCAACCCGTGTGCAGCAAAAATGTTCCTCAAAACCTGGATAGTCTTGGCAGCTGTGGTAGAAGACACAGGCATGACCTCCAGCCATTTGGAATGGCTATCAACAACAACCAGGAAGAATTGACCCTGAAAGGGCCCAGTGTAATCTACATGTATTCTAGACCATGGAGTGTGTGTTTCCTCCCACCTGTGTACAGGGGCCTGTGGCATTTCAGGTCTGGACTGTTGGCAGGTATGACATCCATGTACTTGGGACTCGATGGCTTGGTCAATGCCAGGCCACCACAGATGGCTGAGAGCAAGCGCCTTCATCCTTACAATTCCAGGGTGAACCTCATGTAATGAGACCAAGATTCTAGCCCTCAATGAGGCTGGGATCACAACTCTCAATCCCCATAGGAGGCAACCATTGAATGTGGACAACTCGTGCCTCTTGACCCAAAAACGTTGAAATTCCTCTGCAGGGCATCTGTCAGGCCACCCTGAGAGAACCCATGACAGCACGTGTTTGAGCGTGTGGTCAGTGGCAGTTTCAGCAGCCACATCCCTAGCATTGAGGGGGCATTCAGGCAACTCCTGAATTGACAATATGTGTACAGCAGGAGCGGGATCAGGCTCCACAGTAGGTAATGGCAGCCTACTCAAAGCATCTGCATGACCCATTTCCTTGCCAGGCTTATGAACCAGTGAATAGTCATAAACTGAGAGGAAGATGGACCAACGGAGCATCCGAGGGGATAGGATATGAGGAGTTTGTTTGGAGGTGGTAAATAGCCCCAGTAAAGGCTTGTGGTCCGTAAAGACTGTAAAATGGCGGCCATAGATGAAATCATGGAACTTTTTAATACCAGCCACCAGAGCCAAAGCTTCCCTATCAATTTGAGCATAGTTGCGCTCAGCAGCAGATAAAGTCCTAGAATAGTAAGCCACAGGGACCTGAGTCCCATCAGCCGTCAAATGGTTAAGAACAGCGCCCACACCGTAGGGTGAGGCATCACAAGCCAGGCACACTGGCAACTGCTCATTAAAATGAGCCAACACTGCATTGGATGTAAGCAAAGCTTTAACCTCATTGAAACTGGCCTCATGGACCTTGGTCCAG